TTTTTTTTTCTGATAATTATCTAAGACAGCGTTGAGTGAAAGTCAGTTTCTGTAGTTTTTTGAAGTTGAACATGAAAATTATGTTTTTAGTTGGAATTTTTGTTGTTGCAGAGGTCTGATTCTGTTCCGTTTGTTATTAGCGTACATCCACTTCCAGCCGAAAGCGATACTTCTTCAACGAATCAGGTTATTCACTGGGTTTGGTTAAGCATTGAGCATTGAGGGGATCGCTGAACCTCTGTAAAAAATTCTCTTGCTTTAGATCTCAGCTATTTATTTTCACCTGGATATCATTCAGTTAGTGCTATTAAAATGTGGATTGAGTTTGAAGTAAAGCTGCATTTTTAGGACCTACACGGATGTTAAATTATTTTTACAGTTACTTCTTTAACTAAACTTGATTAATACATTTGCAGTCGAAATGTCTTTGGCGTTCTGTAGCATAGCCTTAGCTGTTTTCTTCAAGTTGGGCTGTAGGTTCTGAAAATTACTGTGTGCTGTTGCGCAGTTAGATTTTACGAAAAGAGGAGTTACGTCTGTATTGTAGGGAGATAGTGAAGAACCTGTTGGTGTGGATGCTCTGGACCCTTTAGGAGCTTTAAGTCCCGAGCACATCAAGAAGTGCGAGAAGAAAAAAAATATAGCTACTGTAAGCCCGAGCAGGATAAGGTTCTTTAAAGAACATAATTCATCTCCGTTTACTAGCGAGGTTTCTACATTTATTTTCATTATAACTTTTTTCTTATTTAAAATGTTGCAAGGTTCTTTCTAACACATTCTTTGAGCAGAGACTCAAAAATGACATAAACTATGCTATGAGTGTTTTAGGAATTCATGACGGAGAGGGAAAAAGTAAAAAGAAATGAAAAACCGAGTTCGTGGTTTAAAGGCCTGGCAAACAGTCCAATTGTTAGCAAATTTATGCGCAGCAATACGTCAGGTATTTCTTTTGTAGGGCCGTTTTTTACGAGATAGTATACTTTTTCAATTTTTTAAGACTTCACTTTTGCTAATAGATAGAATCTGGTTTCTCATTTAAAAAGCCGAAAGAAAAAGTGTTGGGAAGTGAAGTCTCTGTCAAACCATACTTTCTGAAAGGCGAATTTTCCATTTTTTCTCAGCCAGGTTTTTTACCAGCGTTAGTAATTTTGTTACCTCTGCCCCCAATCGGATTTTTAGGATTCAAGAAAAAGCTTATTATTGCTAGATTCAGAAAAATATCCAGTAAATGGATGTTCTGCTAAAGACCCAAACTGTAGGGCATAGGTAGTTTACAGAAGTGTTGCAGATTTTGATTTTTTTTTTCAAATAGATTATTTGCAAGAAGTTTTTTGTATATGAAATTGAAGATGTTCTTGGTTGAGGTTCGAGCTATACTTGCCACCTTGCCACAGTACTTTGAACCGGACGATTACAGTGTTTTTAAGTGATATTTTGTCTCAGAACTAACCTTTCACTGTTTTTTTTTGCGTTCATAATTCATTGTCTGAGGATTAGCTCCGACACAAAACTTCACTAAACTGCATTGAAGTTACTCACTGAATTTAGTATGACGAGTATAGCTTCAGCCTCATAGAGACTCCGCCGCTAAAGTTTTTTAATTTTATACGCAAGAAGACTTTTTTGCAAATTTTTTTTCAGAGAAAAATGAAAGCATAATTTTTTTCAAATATCTTTACAAAGTTTGGATTCTTGTATATTTTAGGTTTTTGTCAAAAAATTTATTTCTTTATATTATTCTGTATGTAGAAGACGTATGTTTCTGTTTGAATTCAGAACTAGTTAATTCAATGTGCAGATAACGAAGGCAGAGGACCGGAAGGGAAATTTTGGTGAGCGAGGAAATGGAAAAATTCGGTTTCCAACAACATGCGAATTGCTAACTAATTTACTTTAGCTTTTTAAATGCGAGGGTTCTACTAACCAGCAAAATTTTAAAAAATTTGATACATTAGCTGAAAAAAATGTTTTATTGTGCATGGGGTGACTTTACATGGTTTGATATTTTATGTGGTTTGTCTTTTCTCTAGCTTGAACAGTTTTTGAGCATTTGATCTATAACCGTTGCCTGCAGCTTTGTAAATGTTTTTTCGTAGTGCAGTATTTTTACTTCATGAAGTATCTGCTTGTAGGAAAATTTGGTTCTTCCGACAGTTTATCTGATGCGCTTTTGATATCTCCTGGTCTTACTTCTTTAGTAGCGCAAATGAAAAAAGGTTATGATGGAGTAATTCAGAGCAGTAATTTTTCGTCATTACGTGAGGGAGTAAGTACCTTCGTTAATGAAGTCAGAGGTCGGAATCGTACACATGCGAAGGATTTATTTGGAAGTAGTTCCAGTATTGAGCCTCAAGATCACGACGAAGCTATGCAGGTGTTTTAACAACAACTGTTTTTACCTCTCTTTGGTTATTTAACAGCTCGTAATATTACAGCAAAATCCTGAATGTTCTGATCCATTATTTCAACTCGACAGTGGTACACCTTGCTCTATTCTGCCTTCCGACTGGTGGGTGGAAGACCAGATTTTTGCTGCAAACTCATTGTCTTCTCCCCTAGATGTAACGATTTCTTCAGCATCGTTATGTTCGAACTGCAAAACTGTAAGTTCAGACAAGTTTACTTTACTGAAAGATATTGCACTTTGATGCCTGGATTTTTACGCCGTCTTTTCAGAATGAGCTTTGTTTCTTCAACTTCGAGTCATTTTAAGGTAATATATGATGATGACATTATGGCTGGCTGGTCGGCAGATGATTCAAATTTAAACACCACTTGCGTCTACTGCGGTTTTTCTTTCGTTCCGTCTCTGTCCATTAGATTGCGCACAAGGTCTTCCTTTGTAAAAAATAGCTGGTACGCACCGTCTGTTTTCAATACGAAGGATGATTTTGCGAATTCAGAGGGCGATACTGAGACGAACGAGATTGCCGAAACTGTTGAAGATCATCAAGTAACGGTACAGTTTTTTCATTGGTTTTCAAATTACATTTACATCTTTTATTTTTACTAACGTTAATATGCCGTATTGGGAAATTACGAGAGCATAATTCAAGGTACCATTCGTGAGCCCTCTCGTTTTACGCCGTGAAATTGAAAATTTGTTGAATGGAGATGCTTTAAGTCTAGCAGACCCAGGTTTACAGCATTCTCATCCAATAATCTTTTGGAATCTTATATATTACACTCGACGTATTGCGTTACCAACCCACCTTTGTTCGTGGCTTGGGAGTTCAGTCCATGTTCGATGTGTCTATGATGTTCCAGAAAAACATACTTCGTGCAAACCGCTTTACTTCTCAAATAATGTCTTTCAAGTAATTCAATGAGTCTTCCCGATTATTATTTAGACCTTTATTCTGATTTTTGGATTTGATATTTTATATTTTCCTTTTTAGGAGGTCCCTGTACCTGATACTGATAGAAGCGTTGCTGTATGGGAAGATATTCTCGTTTGCATCCAGCAGTCTAGTATATTTCGTGGCCTTACTTGTCTCCTCAAAGAACACGGTTGGGCTCCTGAGAGTGGGAAATTACGGCCGCATTTCTCACTTTACAGGTTCGTTTGAACATTTGTCTTCAGTAAATTTCCTCATTGAGAGGCTTTATTTTTATGTGGTAGGTTTCTTTAAAACTATTTTCAGAGACCTTCAATTCGTCGCTTTAAATCGATTTGGCAGAGCTGTTTGTAGAGATACTTTTGACTATCTTTATCAACTTGATTTTGAGCGGTTGCCTCCAACGATTTTGGTAATGCTGCCAAAACCTGATCATCCGCTTAGTATTACGTCACGCTTATGCAAAAGAATTTTTTTGCCGCTTGATGTCTGTTAATGACGTGTATTTGCGATGTTAACGCATTAAAAGTCATTGGTTCCAATTTCTCATTCTCCAACCTGATTTTAATTAGTTCGATGATCTCTTAGGCGTCGTAGATATTGATACTATTGTTTAGTTTGTTATAATTGTTTTGTGTGTTAATATAATGTTAACGTTATCCTGTTTTCTTGTTTATTAGCATTAACTTTGAACTGGGTTTCACTTTCTGAGTGTTTAAATTTACAAATCCGTTATATTTGAAGGTAAGAACTTCCTATTTCCATTATGCTTTTTGTTTTGGATTAATGAAGTATCTCTTTTGTCAGAAGTGCAAGCAGATTATGAAGGAAGAGTTGGAGTTTTTTATCGCTTTTTGTAATGTGTTTGTAAAGTTGTGATCTGTATTTCAGAGCCATTCAGTTTTGCTCGTAAATTGTGATAATGTTTCTTGTGATTTGTTTTGTTCCTTCTGTTACTCGTATACGTGTATTTTTTCTCCTTGTAGTCGTTAAATTTCTTGTGAAATAAGTCAGTTATTCGCGTACGGGGTTTATTGCAGTTTCTAACACTTACATCTTCGTTTCTTTCTTTTTTTTCTTTTTTTTAATATTAAAAAATTCACGAATCTTTTAAATAAAATTTCTCGCCTACTTGACCCTTGTGCCCAGTGACACCTGCGTTTTGTTCTAGTTCAAGATTTTTCCTAATTGTGTAAGAAGTATTTATACAGGTCGTAGAAGCCTGTTTGGTCTTATCGTGAGGCACTTTAAAAGGCTGCTTGATTCATTAGAACGAGGTTGACATTTGCCAGACCAAATGATTCTCTCTTCAGCAGTTTAAGATTAGGTATGGGGTAATTTTGAGAAGGGGATTGGGACGTCGATAGTATAACTTATTGGAAATGATAATTGGGGACTAGTGTCCTTGTCTACTTCGTCCAGAATCGGGCTGTTTAAGGTTCTAGATTTCCGGGTCCCTTTTTTTACTGATTAATGTGTGGCAATGCATGGTCTGTTGCGAGCTAAGCGGATGGACAAGCGAAAGAAAGTCACTTCTGGTTTGAAACCTGCTCCTACAGTGAACGGTTCTCCAGCGATAGTGTTTCTGGACGTTGGCAAACTGCCAGACTGGCTAGGTGATATATGAGTTGCAGCACCATCAAGCGAATATTTACAGGTGGATTGAGTCACTCTTTGCAGAAAATGTTCTGCGTCTGAATAGTTAAGTGACTTGTGAAAGTCAAATGCTCTTGTATGACTTCTGAATCTGGTGTAGTTGAAGGAGATTCCTCCTTAGTTTTCTTGAAGCTGGTTTTTTTTAACTCGCTCAACGATTTCATTTTGGGGCACTTGCACTGTTTTGTGAGTTCAAGCTCATTTATTTTTTGTGCCGCTTTAATTAAAAGTGACGATTTGTAAAAATTTTTGAATTTTTGAGTTGTTTGCTTTTAAAGATGGGAAGTTTTTTATCCTTAGTCTTTTGTTAGGTGACATTTGGCAGTACACTGTTGCAGTTAAGCTTGCTCACTTCCGGCACGATTGAAGATAAAAGTATTCACCCCCCAAAATTTTTTTTTTCTTTGATCGTCATCTGACATCTATTGTATACGGAGTTTTTGACATCTGATTCTTTTTTAATAATTTCAGACTGTTCTATCTAG